TTAAATGAGATAATATTAAAGCCTTTAGCCAAGTGTTTGGTAAGAGAAACTCAATGAATGCATTTAATAAGGGAGAAAGACCTGAAAACTCATTTCCTCTTCCTGACCACAATTTCACTTGTGTATTGCACAAGGCAAGAAGGGAAGGAAGAATAAAACACTTATCTACAGGGTATTAAAACACACTTTTTGAAAAGATCTAGCACTCCTCATTTATCACCTGGAATCATTCGTTATGTTTTGATGTAAATATGTCTTACCTCTAAGTAGGTAGGGCAGAAACCTCATCTTAAAAATACTGTGGGAATCTCACAACTTGCTCAGTGCCTTCCATTTAAAGTATTTCCAATAAATACTGGTTGGCTGATTAAACCTCCAAAAGAGCATTTATGCTTTGGAAAGGAACAAACAATTGAAAGATAGAAAAATAAAAATGAAAAGGTAGAAAAATAATACCTATAAACTATTCTCCTTGAATGATTTTCAGAGTGATTTAGATGAGCTTACTAGTTACCAAATAAAAATATTCATCACTGCTTTGGCTTGGACATTAATAGAAGGTTTTTTGTTTGTTTTAGGATAATGGCTACTTTTTAAAAAGTAAATGTGGAGCTCATATGAAGACCTTAACTTATTTGATTTCTAACATATTTAAAAGCATAAAAATATAATCTACAGAGGAATCTTTCTTTAATTTTTAAAACTTGGCAAAATATCTTAAAATTAGAAGACATCTAAAAACATATTATGGGATGGACATAGTTACATGAAGCTAACAGTCATATAGAGTAGATATTTAAAAACATGAAGAAAAAGACATTCGCTACTTCAATATTAACAATAATCCTTAATGTTTATGAAATGTAAACAAGGAATTCAGGTGAAATTTAACACTAACTGATAATTTTATTATCTTAAAATAAGAAGTTAATAAGAAGTCCCAAGACTTAAGCAGAGACTCTTCAAAGAAAATCTAAAGACATCAAACAGTAATGGATTATATTTTGAGTCCTTTAAAAGTGAGAAACTTGAAAACACCGAGAGAATATAAACATCACTCTTGGAACTGTTACGTGGGCATATGAACACTTTTAAGGATGCTTGAAAGACTCCATTGGTGCTGTATTGTCACGCACGTTTGTCTTCCAAGAGAGCAACAGGGCGGACAGCAGGATGAACGGAGAATGTGTGTAAAGGTATTTAGGAAAGATAAGTCTGAAAACTATACAGTTAAGCTACTCAAGTTGCTGTTTACTATCTTGATTAATAGTGTTACCACTTCCGCATTGTCCACAGATTGAGCACCACAAAGGTTTATATTACTGACAGCACATTAAGAGAAAACCCAAGCAGCTGGGAAATGGAAGGCCATGCTGCAGTTTCTTGGACACGTGGCAGGTGGACATGTACCTCTTGGAGAAGACCTTCTGTAAGGCAGATACGGCTCCATGAGAATCGCCTAGACTACAGGTCTGCTCAGCAGGAGTTTACACAGCGGCTGAGAGGACGACTGCCGATCCCTAGTCAGTGGACCATTTATCCTTTTTCTACAAGAGTAGCAGCCAATTCTGTAGGGCCCAAACGCATCACACCAATCACTGACTTTCAGAGATGGAGGCATGGATGGATGGATGACAGGATAAATTATAAACATGTAGATCCTGGGATAGATCCCTTGATTACTGGCTAAAAGCAGTGGGGAAAAGAAGATTTAGACCATCGCACAGTCTCATCTAAATACTATCCTGGAAAAAATTCAGAGCTTTCAATTAATGGACGTTCTAAGTGAAAAGAATTTAAACCATTAAAAACAAAACCCCAAAACACAGTTTGTTTCTATTGTTGCCAACAGTACAGATCCCAACTATTTTTTTGCCTAGATCACTCCAAATGTTTCCTAATTGCTACTTTCTTTTTCTTCAATCATTTTTTCCTTTCCAAGTAGATTACCTCTTTTTTCCCTATTTATGTATTTTTTTAAAAGGAAAAAAAATTTATTCACAAAACCCTTAAATTAATGTCTATTTTCATTAAGTGTTTTGTTTGAATAGGTGTTTTTCATACAATTACATTGTATTTACAATATCATACTATTTTCATATAACTTAATATTTTAGTATTTCCCCATGTTATTGTACAGTCTCCATTATCATCTATTTTATTGGCTGCCTGACATTTCATCCAGGGGAAGTATCTATGCTGTCTAGTGTTAGAGTTTAGTATTTTATAATTTCCAGTACTTTACAGTTATAAATTGTGTGCTGAACATCATGCACATACACTTTTCCTTTCCTTACCTCTTGTGCATCAGTAGAGTGATGACGGTGACTAGTTAATCTCAAACTCTCAGTTTTAAATTTCTAGGAGTTTGATATTTCTATGTTTAATAGATTAACCTTTTCTAAATACCAGTAAGAGTCCATAGGGTTATAGAGTTACATCTAGATGCTGAACATGTTAAATAACTTATTTCTTATAAAAAAGGAGAGTTCAGGTTCTCACATTTGAGCAAAATCCTTAAGAGGTTTTATGACTCTACCATTAGTATATCTTGGGGAAAAAAATTGGAATTTTTTTTATGTCTTACTTCAGAATCATTGAGGGAAAGGCTCAATCTTTTATTCCTTTTGTTCTCAAACTCTGGTATGCATCAGGTGACCTGGGAAAATATTAAAAATGCAGACTCCTGGTCCCAGAGCTAGAGTCTGATTTAGTGTGTCTGGGATTGGCCTAGGAATGTGCATTAAAAAAGAAAAAAAAGCTCCTCAGATAATTCTAACCTTATGCTGAAAAATCTGGCTTCATTCTCAATCTACCTGATCACTCTAATAGATGAACCATTGAGAATACAATACACAATTACTATGCTTGATACATTAGATCTACATTTTTAAGCGAAACAATGATTAAAATAAAAAAGATTGCATAGAATAATTCCTGTTTATATTTTTCCCTCCAGGTTACTCCAGCTTCTTCTTTAGCCTAATCTATAAATTACAACCTGAAGGTTAATGTCATCAGTGATTTTTTTTTTTTGAATATACTGAAAGGGCACTACAATGTTACAAATATGAAGGTATAATGCTTTTCTAAGAGAAATAGTTAAAAAGATTTAAACTTTGAATAAAACTTAAAATATAGTACTTAAGTATGCTGACATGGGAAAAACTAAAGGCAAGTTGATAGGTTTAGAAATGCATTATTTGGAGAAACTTGCCTTATAACTGAATGGGGACTCTCTTTGTGTCTTTAAAAATAAAAAAATCAAAGAGCTCCTTGTATACTAAATTGAAGTGAAGTCTACATCCTTGTATAATCATGGAAAAAAAAATCAATTCCTAAATGTGCCAATCTTTTCTTTCGAAAGGACCCTCATTTTTATAAGATTAAGTATGAAAGCTTATTTGATGCTAATATTTATTTAAAAAAAGGAAAAAGACGCTGATCTATGGTTGATGAAAGCCTCACCTGAGCAATTGATTCTTTTTCCAGATGAGCTCGAGATCCACATGCAATAGCCATTTGATCCTGAGGAAAAAAGCAATGAAATAATTTTTCCATATTTAAGTATCATTAATAGAAATATTTATTTTCAACATGAACATCTTTTTAGAAACTGATTGTTTTTTTAAAGTAACATTAGTTGGGGAGGGTACAACTCAGTGGTAGTGCACATACCTAGCATGAACAAGGTCCTGGGTTCAATCCCCAGTACCTCCATTAAAAAAATTAATTAAAAAAAACCTAATTACCCCCCTAATAAGTAAAATTAAATATATATATATTAAAAAATAAAAGATAAACATCTATACTAATAAAATATAATTAAAAAAATAAAGTAACATTAAATATTTTTAAAGGTTTATTGAGAAGTTCAGAATATGTACACCTTAAAGAAGTATAACTGTATTTACTAAGATGACACTATTCAGGGCTGAATATATGGGGCATGTATTATTTCAAAATTCACATATTTAAATAACTTTTCTAATTAAAAGACTGTATCAACATAATTATAAGAAAAATTAGTAATATTAGAAAAGGGTTATCTGTAGACAGTATGATTTTACATATAATTATTACATTCTGGAAAATCCAAGAATATCAACTGAAAGACTACTACAAATAATAAGAGAATGTAAAAAGATGAGAGGGCACAAGATGAATAGATATATAATATTTCAGCCTTTATATGTACAAGTAATAATCAGAAGATATCTTTTATATATTTCTGTATTTATAACATCAATAAAAAAGAGAAATCTATAAATAAACTTTACAAGGTATGTGGTAAGATCTAAGTAAAGGGAACATGTAAATGTAACCAAGGGAAACAAAAGAATCTGGACATACTGTGACCACGGACGAGAGGATGCAACGGCACGACTGAAAAGCCAGCGCTCCCCAGCTAATCTTTAAAGTTAAGGCCATACCAACAGACATATCAAGATAACTTTTCATTGATTTAGATAAGCTGATCTGGAATATTGGGGGGAAAAAAGAACCAAGAAGAGCCAAGCAAATTCTAAAAGTGAGGAAGGACTAGCTCCAGAGGATTTAAAAATATAAAGCTGTAACAATTAAAACTGAGGTACTAGAATGTAAATAGATAAATCTATGGATCAGAATGGAAAGGCCGGGGGGAGGGTATAGTTCAAGTGGTAGAGCGCATGCTTAGCATACACAAGGTTCTGGGTTCAATCCCCTGTACCTCCTCTAAAATAAATAAATAAATAACACATCCCTCCCCCCCTCAAAAAGAATGGAAAGGCCAGAAGGCCAGAAACACACACACACAAAACATATGGGTGCTTAAGAGTATGATAAAGATGACATTTTAAATCAGTGGAGAAAAGATGCTGTGGTCTATTTGGTAGCCATTTGGAAATCATATTAAATGGACCTGAGGCAAATGCTAACTAGGACATACTCCAGATATATCAGATTTAAGTGTAAAATATCAGAAGTAAGTCTTAAGTGATCCCAAAGACAGCACAAATACACAAAACCCAGAAAACATGAATTTGACAATAAAATTTTAAAAAATTGTGTGGCACAACAGCAAAGATCCAACCATATTAAAAATTAAAAAACAAATAAATTAGGGACAAATAATGGTAATTTATACTACAGACAAAAGGTCAATTTTCAAAATGCAGAAAGTGCTCCTACAAATTACTAAGAAAAGTACTACCCAACTCAGTCGGAAAAGAGTGGTAAAATCTATGAACAGAGAGTTCACAAAAGGAGGAAGTGAAAATAGCTCTTTAACAACTGAAAAAATCCTTACCTCAGTAACACTTAGCAATGCAAATAAAACCTATCAGTTTTTCCCATATACGCACTCTATATGGACAGCAATTTGAAAACTCTTACCACAATTACAAATATATATACAATTTGGCCCAGCAATTCCGCAACTAGGAATTCTTCCCATAATAAACCTGCTTGTGTGTAAAAAACATTCATGGACAGTTGATCACTTGACTGCTGTCTGAAGCAGCAAAAGGGACTAGCTATGAAGCTGTGCATGAGGAAGCACATGAGGAAGCACGTGAGGAAGCACTCTGATGTACACATAAGGCTCAATCTCCCAGATATATTGTTAAATGGAAAC